ATTGTTCATGAATATACAAAGATCTTCAACATTTCACGGGCCTTCCTTTCTTCAAGAATATCTTTCTTTAGCTGCTCACGAGAGCACTTTTCCCCTAATAGAATTCCCCGTGCTTTATTTCCTTCGTCAAACTTCTTTCTGTAATTGTTTATGTGGACGCTGTTCTATAACAAATTTTGCATTAAGATTGTTTCCATGAAAATAAGATCAAATGCCGTAAATGAGCAACTCATAGAGAAAAGAAATTTTTAAACATTTTAAAAAGCTCGAAAAAACCAACAAAAAAACTTATAAATCATTAAATGCATTTTTGCTTGCATTTATGTAATTGTAAGTGATTTATCATTTATGTAATTTTACGTGATTTATCATTTATGTAATTGTACGTGATTTTTTATTTATGCAATTGTACGTGATTTATCATTTATGTAACTGTACGTGATTGATCATTTATGTAACTGTACGTGATTGATCATTTATGTAACTGTACGTGATTGATCATTTATGTAACTGTACGTGATTGATCATTTATGTAACTGTACGTGATTGATCATTTATGTAACTGTACGTGATTGATCATTTATGTAACTGTACGTGATTGATCATTTATGTAACTGTACGTGATTGATCATTTATGTAACTGTACGTGATTGATCATTTATGTAACTGTACGTGATTGATCATTTATGTAACTGTACGTGATTGATCATTTATGTAACTGTACGTGATTGATCATTTATGTAACTGTACGTGATTGATCATTTATGTAACTGTACGTGATTGATCATTTATGTAACTGTACGTGATTGATCATTTATGTAACTGTACGTGATTGATCATTTATGTAACTGTACGTGATTGATCATTTATGTAACTGTACGTGATTGATCATTTATGTAACTGTACGTGATTGATCATTTATGTAACTGTACGTGATTGATCATTTATGTAACTGTACGTGATTGATCATTTATGTAACTGTACGTGATTGATCATTTATGTAACTGTACGTGATTGATCATTTATGTAACTGTACGTGATTGATCATTTATGTAACTGTACGTGATTGATCATTTATGTAACTGTACGTGATTGATCATTTATGTAACTGTACGTGATTGATCATTTATGTAACTGTACGTGATTGATCATTTATGTAACTGTACGTGATTGATCATTTATGTAACTGTACGTGATTGATCATTTATGTAACTGTGCGTGATTGATCATTTATGTAACTGTACGTGATTGATCATTTATGTAACTGTACGTGATTGATCATTTATGTAATTGTGCGTGATTGATCATTTATGTAACTACGTGATTGATCATTTATGTAACTGTACGTGATTGATCATTTATGTAACTGTGCGTGATTGATCATTTATGTAACTGTACGTGATTGATCATTTATGTAACTGTGTGTGATTGATCATTTATGTAACTACGTGATTGATCATTTATGTAACTGTACGTGATTGATCATATATGTAACTGTACGTGATTGATCATTTATGTAACTGTACGTGATTGATCATTTATGTAACTGTACGTGATTGATCATTTATGTAACTGTACGTGATTGATCATTTATGTAACTACGTGATTGATCATTTATGTAACTGTACGTGATTGATCATTTATGTAACTGTACGTGATTGATCATTTATGTAACTGTACGTGATTGATCATTTATGTAACTGTACGTGATTGATCATTTATGTAACTGTACGTGATTGATCATTTATGTAACTGTACGTGATTGATCATTTATGTAACTGTACGTGATTGATCATTTATGTAACTGTACGTGATTAATCATTTATGTAACTGTGCGTGATTGATCATTTATGTAACTGTACGTGATTGATCATTTATGTAACTGTACGTGATTGATCACTTATGTAACTGTGCGTGATTGATCACTTATGTAACTGTACGTGATTGATCATTTATGTAACTGTACGTGATTGATCATTTATGTAACTGTACGTGATTGATCATTTATGTAACTGTACGTGATTAATCATTTATGTAACTGTACGTGATTGATTATTTATGTAACTGTACGTGATTGATCATTTATGTAACTGTACGTGATTGATCATTTATGTAACTTTGCGTGATTGATCATTTATGTAACTGTACGTGATTGATCATTTATGTAACTGTACGTGATTGATCACTTATGTAACTGTACGTGATTGATTACTTATGTAACTGTACGTGATTGATCACTTATGTAACTGTACGTGATTGATTATTTATGTAACTGTACGTGATTGATCATTTATGTAACTGTACGTGATTGATCATTTATGTAACTGTACGTGATTGATCATTTATGTAACTGTACGTGATTGATCACTTATGTAACTGTACGTGATTGATCACTTATGTAACTGTACGTGATTGATCATTTATGTAACTGTACGTGATTGATCATTTATGTAACTGTACGTGATTGATCATTTATGTAACTGTACGTGATTGATCATTTATGTAACTGTGCGTGATTGATCATTTATGTAACTGTACGTGATTGATCATTTATGTAACTGTGCGTGATTGATCATTTATGTAACTGTACGTGATTGATCATTTATGTAACTGTACGTGATTGATCACTTATGTAACTGTACGTGATTGATCATTTATGTAACTGTGCGTGATTGATCATTTATGTAACTGTGCGTGATTGATCATTTATGTAACTGTGCGTGATTGATCATTTATGTAACTGTACGTGATTGATCATTTATGTAACAATGCGTGATTGATCATTTATGTAACTGTACGTGATTGATCATGTATGTAACTGTGCGTGATTGATCATTTATGTAACTGTACGTGATTGATCATTTATGTAACTGTACGTGATTGATCATTTATGTAACTGTACGTGATTGATCATTTATGTAACTGTGCGTGATTGATCATTTATGTAACTGTACGTGATTGATCATTTATGTAACTGTACGTGATTGATCATTTATGTAACTGTACGTGATTGATCATTTATGTAACTGTGCGTGATTGATCATTTATGTAACTGTGCGTGATTGATCATTTATGTAACTGTACGTGATTGATCATTTACTAAGAAGCGGTGATGTAAATGGGTAAACTTCTGGCGAAAACACGTTTATTCTTGTACGTGATTGATCATTTATGTAACTGTACGTGATTGATCATTTACTAAGAAGCGGTGATGTAAATGGGTAAACTTCTGGCGAAAACACGTTTATTCTTGTACGTGATTGATCATTTATGTAACTGTGCGTGATTGATCATTTATGTAACTGTACGTGATTAATCATTTACTAAGAAGCGGTGATGTAAATCGGTAAACTTCTGGCGAAAACACGTTTCATATTTCCTACATTTCCCCTCTTTAAATTTAATTTTACTCTATACCGAAATATGTTTCAAATACAAAGCACATATCAACGTCTACACAATTAATCTCCACATAAAAGCATGAACCCATTAAAAAAATCATTAACATTCCCCCAACCCCCCACCCCTTGAAAAAAAAAAAAAACTGCTATTAGGGTTTGGCGAGTGGCTGAAAATTTGTAAGAATGTGTTGTCATCGGCAACGAGTCTATGTGCCACGTTTCAGCTGGGTGGGCTGATGGGAAATGGGTCAATTTAGCTGCTTCAAAAAAAAAAAAAAAAAAGAAAGAAACACACAAACAAAAACTAATGTAATATAAAGAACTTACTAAGACAAACTATTTCACGAAAAAAAGCGATGAACGATACAAAACGTGACGTTTCGATTATGGGAAAACTGAGATTTTATTGCGTGACATTCAGCTCTGTTAGAGGATAGCTTAGTTTTATTAACATCACCATGTATTATCATCGATCTACAAATTACATTTTGGTGCAAAAAAATAGTCTCCTTTAATCGGTGCTGGCCTTGAACGGAGAAGATACTTTTTTTCACAAATATTTATTCGCTATAAATGTTGCATAAAATACCAGTTGACATCGAAGTTATGTTTGAAAATTCTAGATGTGTTAATATTAACCTTATATATATATATATATATATATATATATATATATATATATATACAGTGGAACTCCACTATAACGGCGCCCCGCCATAACGTGAATTCGGATGTAACGCTTTCGTAGCATGGCTCCCAAAATTTGAAATTCATTTACTCCATCAGGCCTAAGTTCTTTGAAAATTTTATCCATTCCTTGGAAAGCCATTTTTTAAAGCGAAAAAAAAAATCACAACTTTTCAAAATATCGTAGAACATGAGCCCCTAAACGCACCACGTTCAAACTAGTAGACACGGCTATGTTCTCGGACAAAAGTTAAATATTGTTAAACCGTGCATTAACACAACCCCGCTTTTAACGCAATCCAATTTTGTGGACCCCGATCATCGCGGTATAGCGGGGTTCCACTGTACATCAAATGACCATAGTCCCAATTTAATATAAACAGTAATAACTTTCGTCGTTGCCAATCTCTCACATCTCGTTAGTGCTTCTTCCATCTCATTTATTTTATTTTAAACAATCCTGACGGAATGACCTGCAATAGTTTTCTTTGGGTCTTCCTTCTGTGTCTGTACATTTATGCCATAGCGAGTGCGCTTGTCCTTCATCCCCCGGCTTTCAACACCACCCTTTCCTTCTAGCCTCATTTATGTGTTAGTTATTCCTTGCCCATTCTGCTTATAGACTTGTAATTTTGTAAATCGCAAGATGATTCATCTTTATTTTTGTATATTATGTATTTAAATTCTAACGCCTGGTATAAAAAAAACAAACACACGCGTTACCTGTGAACACATTTCAGTTTTAAAGCACTAATATAACAAACAATTGACTAAAGTGATAGAGACATCAATGGAGGAAACACAAAACTGTGTCACGTGTAATGTCATAAATGGGATTTGCTCAAGCCTCATGTTTAAATCAATTAAGTATTTCCGGATAACATCGTGTGTCATACTAAACACAGTTTTGTTGTTGAGTTTATTGTGCTGAAAATCTCATTTTTATTTTTTTTGAAAGTACAGTTTATGATTTAACTGTCCTAGCTCTCAAAGACAGTTCAACTCTTGTTATACGTTTGACGGATTTGGTTGAATATTAAATGAAGAAGACGTTGTCTTTGTTTCTGCAGTATCTCAACGTCATCCGTCTTGTTGTCGAATAAAACGGCACCGCTGTAATGTTCCCTAGGACTAAAACCTTGTTCTGTAAACCATTGAGAAAAAGTTTTCCCCGACGTCATTTCTTCTTTTCTAAAGTGATCACCATTTGTATATATTATAAACATACGTACACAATTTGGTTCGAGCCTCCTGTAAAGAGCCCATAAAAGGGTTTGATCTTCCTCTGAATACGGCATACCATAAATCAAGACGAGTACAAAAATCTGAAAAAAAGAGACGGGGCCAGCTGATTCAATGTATTCAGCTATTGACTCCTCTAAATAAGAGCTGTACCGATGAGGATACTCTTCACAGAACCCTGGTCCATCGATGACTTCCAGTGTCAGTCCGTTGTAGTCGCACGTTTCTACGACTCTGTGCATCGTGCCATTCTTTATACCTCCATGACTCTCAAAACATTTGCGGCCAAGGATAGAGTTTCCCGTCGCACTTTTGCCAGCGCCAGTTCTGCCCAATAAAGTTATGGAGATTTTCTTCACCAGCATGGCGTGCCGCCAATCCTGAAGGAAAAAAAAGGATCCTCATAAACTTTTTGAAAACGTAAAGCTTCATTTTTGTATGTCCCATTTTCGTGGCGGATACTGAAGAGATGAAATTCATAGGGTTGACCAAACTCTGCATCTAAGGCTTTGCAGTTAGTAAAAAAGATTAAGGGACCTAGCCGAAAGCCCTTCCACTGAGAGCTGGAAAGGGGCAATCTCCGGAGACATTTGTTTGCAAGGCTGAAGAACCCTTCATGTAAAAAAGCTACAACTACGGAATGAGATCTACAACACATATGGAAAATCGGACAGCTACTTAAAGATCTCGACGTATGTTTGGGTAAGTGCATGTTTTACTGATTTACTGGTTTTACTGCCGAGATGATGCTGGATTGTAAGAGCAGCAAAAGGAATCTACTTGCATAAACCAACCAGTCGACCAAGACTCAGATGGATGGGCGATGTATTGAAGGACTTACATCAGCTGGGTAGTGGGGGGGGGGGGGTCAGCTGAAGGCAGTAAGCTAAGGATCGACCCGAATGGAAAGGTGTGGTGGACACTGTAGTGCCAATGGTGATATAAACATTTTTATTTTAAATTTGAAATGACACATGATTCTTTCGCCTTTTTCAGCCCCAACTAGTTACATGAGAAGGTAGTAGTCACAGAAACAAAACAATATTTGGCATCTTCTGCGTTAATCAGATATGGTGGCTTGTCTGGAAGTGAGCCTGAAAATATAGAAAATTAATATTTGTTTCTCTCATAGATGCCTTATTTTTTTTAAAGTCGTGATTTTAAAAAAAAAAATCTTTTCATGAGTCGTCGGGGCACTATCCAAGAAATAGTAATCCAGCTTTTCCAAACGTTTTCTATATTCTGGAAACCCCACCCCACTCCTTGTGAATTTCTTGACTCATTTTCTCACCCTACACTATTTTTTTTTTACCAAGTATCGAACCCCTAGAATATAAATAAAGCATTTTCAATTAATATTATTGATAGAAATGTATTTATTTCAAAGAAAATATTTTATTATTTTTTTCAAAATCAATATTTCCTCTGTTATAAATATCAATTTCCTCCCACCCTATGAAATAACACATTGCTCCCAATGGGTTGGCCTGCACCCCTCACGAAGAAACATCTATTTTAGACAGATTAGTTTTTTTTTTTTTTTATAATTGAGAGCTGGTTAATTTTTTGCCGTCATTGTGGATGCACAGTTATTTTTCCATTCAAATAAACACGTGACTAATCATAAGTTTAATAAATTATTTTTTTTTTTTTTTNTGAGATGTCTTTTTAAAAAACAAAAAAAAAAACCAAATAATTCTAATAATTTAAAAAAAAAAAACGTATTTAAAAAACCATTTTTTTTCGGTAATTTTTAATAGTTATTTAATGAATAAAAAAAAAAAACAAAAAAAAAACCTTCGTTTAAAACTTGAACTTCCTTAGCCAGCTTATTCTGGGTTATCTTTCCCTGCTCAACCTCTTTTGATAATTGTTCCCGAGTTGTCTTCTCTTGTTCGTATTTTCTCTCAATGTGCTCTGAAATGTTTACATTTTGACAAATCAAAATACTCGATCTCTTACTCATTGATTACCGCCTTCTTGGGTATTAAATAAGCGACCAAAATAAATTAGAGATAAGATTTGTGACATTTATTATTCTCAGTTAAAAGTTACAAAGAATATTAAACCACTCTATCATTGCTTACACCCCCCCCCCCAAATATAGTTTTTAAAAAAAATAAACAAAAACGTTTTATTCTAAACATTGCAAAACACATTGACTAGCAGAATGCTAAAAATATACCAACCTAGGGCCTCTTTCAAGTTTGATATTTCCTTCCTTTGATTCTCAGTCACTTGCTCTAGAGCTATGTAAAAGATCAAGCGCAGAAACCTTAATACACATTTTTTATTTTCAAACTTCGTTTTTTTTTTCTTTTTCCTTCCCCAGCATGGGATTTGAAAAAAAAAAAAAATTCTACGCCTGCCCCACTCTCAACGCTTTAAGTTAAACCAAATGGTCGGGCGAAGATAACTGTAACATCTCAGTATTTAGAACATCTAAAATTAGGTACGAGATTTTGGAATTTTATTTTCAAACTTCTTTTTTTTTTTCTTTTTCCTCCCCCAACATGGGATTTAAAAAAAAAAAAAAAATTCTACGCCTGCCCCACTCTCAACGCTTTAAGTTAAACCAAATGGTCGGGCGAAGATAACTGTAACATCTCAGTATTTAGAACATCTAAAATTAGGTACGAGATTTTGGACGAGAAATAAAAAGGTTCAGGTCAGGACGAGATAAGAAAATAGATGAAACGTGTGCGACATGGAGAGTGAGCGAGTTGAGCAGACGTGTTAGATCCGATTGGACGATATCATTAATGAATGTTTAAGAAATGATGCTATATATTTGCAGCTGCATTTTATGTCACATTGCTGATATTATAAATGTTATTTTTCCAAGGATTATTTATTGTGTTCCATGTAAATGAAGTGAACTGTGTGTAAAATTGGACTTGATATTTCATTTTGAATAAGGGACAGGTTATTAAACAATTTAGATTTAGATAAATATCATAACTATGAGCCACACACACACATAGGATGAACAGTTACAAAAACAATAAATATTTATTTAGCATGCTTAACAAATAATATCTTTTTTTTTTATCGCCGAGGTCAGTGACAGTAACCACTTGTTGAGTTTTTCAATTTTTTAAAACATTTTTTTAGAAATTGTTTATCTTCAATAAAATTACAAGTCATGCATAAAAATAGCAAAATGAAGCCAAGATCATCACTCTACATCTTCTCATAAGCCACTTCAGAAAGTGTATATACGGAAGCTACCCGATCGTCTGACGAAGATGGGAGATAGTCAAAAATAATAAATCATACGTTAAAATTATGGTGACTTAAGAATGACTAGACATGCAAAATAATGTTAGACTCTATAGATGAATTATAATGTTGCTAGGCTATAAAAAAAAGTCAAAAAAAACAACAACAAACAGAGCTACTCTATAAAAAAAAGAATTCGCATTGACATATCGGCGCTGAATTTTCCATGCATACAAATGTAAGTCCTTGGCTTGAAACGTTTTAATAATGTCAATTGATGGCAATGTATGTGTGGGGGTTTAGCTTGTTAAAATTGAGCCTTCGTTGATCTATTTTAAAAAATTAGGAGCAAAGTTGTGTTAAAATTCAAATCTTTTTGTACATTTTGTAATTTAACATCGAAATGCTCCTGTTTCTTGTGTAATCTTTCTGAAAATGTATTGAAAAGTAAAATCATACAAAAAATGTATAGTAGAAAACTTTAGTCATGTGTTCAATTACAGAAATTTGTGGCATTATTAAAAATATGATTAACAGCCGAAATGCTTTTCTTCCACCCTAAACAATCTAAGTAACACATCTTTCAAAAAAAAAATTCACAAATCCTTCATCAATACCGATGTCTTACCTCCATAGGTCACAAAATCTAAGTGATCACTAATTAAGTCCCTTATTATGACTAAGCCACTGACTGGGTGTTTTTTTTACGCTAGAGAAATAATCTAATGCAGATGTCTTGTGTTTGAATTGTTTTAGTTGGATAATGTTGACTTTATTAAATTACATATTTATTTATGTACTGAAAATGTACAGGTACAATGCAATAAAAGCCTTTCCGTTTGTTTGGATCAATACAAGAATCGTATGTTGTCTTATGACACGCAACATTCAATGGCCACAATAAGGTTATAACTATTTTTGACAGGAAAAATAAAATAATTTAACAAATTTTAAGCACAATTTATGTGACATTTAAAACTTCACGAGAGCGAAGTAGTATTTAAGTAAATATATAATAACCTTAATAGATTTCTATGCATTTTGATACGTGACTTTTCATGTACTAACTTTGTAAGCTTATAGGCCAGGTGGAACACGGGATTAAACAAAGTTCCACCCCGCACCACCTACATTTTACGTCTTTCTCCCCCCACCCCGTGGTCCATGATGCTGGCTGACTTAGTTTAAATAAATAATTATTTTTTTAAAAATATATTTTGTATTGTGTATTTAAGATGATATGTAGCAAATTAATCCTTTGATTGAAGGTTTTAAACAAATATATTTTGTATTGTGTATTTAAGATATGTAGCAAATTAATCCTTTGATTGAAAGTTTAAAAAAAAATATATTTTGCATTGTGTATTTAAGATGATATGTAGCAAATTAATCCTTTGATTGAAGGTTTAAAAAAAATATATTTTGTATTGTGTATTTAAGATGATATGTAGCAAATTAATCCTTTGATTGAAGGTTTAAAAAAATATATTTTGCATTGTGTATTTAAGATGATATGTAGCAAATTAATCCTTTGATTGAAGGTTTAAAAAAAAATATATTTTGTATTGTGTATTTAAGATGATATGTAGCAAATTAATCCTTTGATTGAAGGTTTAAAAAATATATATATTTTGTATTGTGTATTTAAGATGATATGTAGCAAATTAATCCTTTGATTGAAGGTTTAAAAAAAATATATTTTGTATTGTGTATTTAAGATGATATGTAGCAAATTAATCCTTTGATTGACGGTTTAAAAAAAAATATATTTTGTATTGTGTATTTAAGATGATATGTAGCAAATTAATCCTTTGATTGAAGGTTTAAAAAAAATATATTTTGTATTGTGTATTTAAGATGATATGTAGCAAATTAATCCTTTGATTGAAGGTTTAAAAAAAATATATTTTGTATTATGTATTTAAGATGATATGTAGCAAATTAATCCTTTGATTGAAGGTTTAAAAAAAATATATTTTGTATTGTGTATTTAAGATGATATGTAGCAAATTAATCCTTTGATTGAAGGTTTAAAAAAAAAAACTATTTTAATGCGGATTTTGCTTTTCAACTTTGATTAATTTTCATTTAAGTTTGCTTGGCATTACTTTATTTTAAATTAGTAAAATTATTCAATTATTAATTATTCAAAGAGCGGATCTGGTGCCGCAGTCTTCTGACCACTGATCTAGTTCAGTCTGTAGATTGTGCGGCTCAACCCATCATTAACGTAAATTGAGCTGTAGCCCCTGTTGATGATGATTGAAGGGAAGACTTCTAAATGCACTTGAAGTATATTTTTCCACATGTTGTGGATGGATAGTTCACATAAACTACAGGTGTGAAAGAATCATCCATGTTCCTGTGAAAAAGACTCGATGATTGCAGCCGGTTGAAACTTTGCAGGGAATCCTACACTGTGCTGCATAACTTTATCCGATGACTTCCTGTGGCAGAGCAGAAATTATGGATGTTTTATTGGACGATGCTGATATCGGTCAAAAGGATCCCATAAAAAGCATTGTCGCCTCTAATTCCCCAGTGCTCATTATCAATGTCACATACTTTGAACCTTTACCAACTTTTAGCTGCACACAATGACACGTCAAAAGTAACTCATTCGGCTAAACTTCCGATAAATATCTGTAGCAAAGTACACGTTCGCTTCCACGTCAGGTTTTGTGCCGCCTAAAAAAGCTAGTTTAGAGGATCAAATGCTGGTGAATGAACAGATAATGCTGGTGATCCCAGGGGGTTGATCAACGTGATCCCAGGGGTTTGATCAACGTGATCCCAAGGGGTTGATCAACGTGATCCCAGGGGGTTGATCAACGTGATCCCAAGGGGTTGATCAACGTGATCCCAAGGGGATTGATGAACGTTTGAAATTATTGAAACAGACGTGGTGGCAGCTGTCTGAACAACTCTGAGGTCAAATCATCTCCAAGCCTGCATGTGTAAATTTTAAAAAAAATTGTCGATTTACTCCCTTAGACTTTAATGAGTACACTCAGTCTAAAATAAGCAGTTTCAAGACGCTGGCATTTTATCCATAAATTAATGTGAGACGGGCTATTTACCTTACTTGTCGCACCTTGTCTATAAGCCGGCTGAGCCAGGGAGCAAAAATATAGTACCAACTAAATTGTGTTAAACTTACAGCGACATAATGCCAAGAACAAGTACAGTTTATCACATGCTCACCAAGTTTGATTTTTAATCGCAGATTTTCTTTTCTTTGGCTTCCTGTCACCTTTTGATCTTGGTGGAAATAAAATAGTCAATGCTCAAGCTTAGGAAAAAAGACTTTTGAAAAAAAATTTTTCAGAATAACAAATAAAAAATATACCGAACTATATTTTTAAGCACAAACATTCTGTGAGCATTGAAATGGAATATATGGGATTATGCTCTACAACACGACGGTAAAGATGGTAACGTGTTCATGTTTTATCTCACTGCACACATTTACATAATAGGTGAAAAGGCTTAGACATTTTTGAAAGGGTCTGTTAAATTTTACGAACAAGTAATACAAACCTTTTTTAAAATTATTATCAGAAATTAGATCAAACATATATGTACAATAATGTTTAAGTAAAGTTTAGTAAATACACACACACACACACACATACATACAAATACACACACACATGAACTATATGAAATTAATAGAACGTTTGTGAAAACATAAAATAATAGTATTTCTTTTTTTTTTTTTTCAAATCGCTATTTGTTTGGCCTTGTTATCTTAATTTTGGAACTCTCTTTTTGAGGTATATTTCTTTTAGCAGAATATTTATTATTTTTTTGGTATAAGATTCTCTTTATTGTTTAAGATGAGCCGTTAATATATTTTTTTTTTGTATAATTATCTCATAATCAAAAAAAAAACAACAAAAAANGATATATATTATGTAAAAAAAAGATACGTCTCACTAAAAAAAAAACAACAAAAAATATATATTGTTTTTGATATTTATTTTTATAATAGCATAAACACTTACCATAAGAAAGAAATGTTTGCTCCTGGAGTAATGATATATATATATATATATATATATATATATATATATTAATATAAAGTAATTGAAATAAAGTAAGTTATTGAAATATAGTAAGTTTTTGAAATATTGGTAAGTTATTGAAATATAGTAAATATTTTAAACATGGTAAGTTATTGAAATATAGTAAGCTAATAAGTTGTAGTAAGTTATTGAAAAGTAGTAAGTTATTGAAAAGTAGTAAGTTATTGACAGTAGGAAGTTATTGAAATATTAGTAAGTCATTGAAATATAGTAAGTTTGAAATATAATAACTAATTGCAATATAGTAAGTTATTGAATTATAGTAAGTTAATAAAATTTGATAGGTTACTGAAATATAGTAATTTATTGAAAAGTAGTAAGTAATTGAAAGTCGTAAGTTATTGAAATAAAGTAAGTTATTGATGTAAAGTAAGTTATTGAAGTAAAGTAAGCTATTGAAATATATTAAGTTATTGAAATAAATTATTTTATTAAATTTAAAGTAAGCATATGTAATATATCGTGTGCCTGTATTCGTTTTGATTGATTTTTTTTTGTCTTAACCCTAAAATGGAAATTTATATATTTAAAAACAATCTTTCATAAATTTTAAAATAGTAAGCAATAATTCATATTTCTTACCTCATTGCTTTCAGATAAAATCATCTCGTCCAAATCATCTAAATCGAAGTAGTAAGATTACAGGTTAATAGCAGACATCGCAATGTATTGTAAAATAATGGATCGTTGCATTTACCAGTTCTATTAATTGAAAAACAGTTATTTTTGTTTACATCACTATTCAGGTAGACAATTTAAGCATATTTTAACTGCTAGCTGTCTTACCTTTAATGTGTTCAAATACAGTTAATTCTTACCTTTAATGTCTTGGAAGACAGGTAAGTCTTACCTTTAATGTCTTGGAATCCAGGTACGTTCTATAACTGCCATTCCTCTTACCTTTAATGTCTTGGAACTCCCTCTCTAAAAATCCCAACCTAACGCCTTCGTCTTTGACTGACAGCAGCAGGTAATGGAACCAGTTTTTGTAAACGTGAAGTCGATCCAACAAGGCCTCGTTTGCCGCCATTCGTCCTTTGTTTTGATCTTGGGTTTTAACGAAGTCCTGGCAATGATCAATAGTTGTTAAAGAGCAGAAGTTAAAACAAAAACTGAGGTCGCTAGTTACATAGTGCTTCATCCAATAGTTTCACTTTACTGGGAAAGTCTGACGGCGATGAGTGTTAAGATAATTGAGTAGGTCCCTTTGGACTAGTAAATGACTTCACTGTCTGGTCAAGACTTCCAAAATGACCTGGTGAATATAAGACAGTCATCACAGTTTTCACTCTTTTTACGTCCATGACGAACTCTTCGAAACAATAAAGGACTATAGATGGTGTGACTATCGAGTTGTCCTCCCTGGCAACGTTATTTTTTCAGTTGTTGCGTATGTTTATGGTATTCAGGAAAAGAAAGCCATTTTTTATTTTAATTATGTTTATTTTCAAAGTTTTTTATAAAAAAAAGAAAGAAAAACATGATATTAAGTATTAGGTTCCTTTTCGAGTGATAGTGAAAAAACAAAAAATATATTAATCTTGCTTCTTCCATTTGTCGTTAAGGCTGTTGTTAACCTATAACTCTAAATTGTAATCCTGGTAGCCTTATGAATCTAGATTTGTACCCCAGCTGTAGTAAATATTCATAAATTGAAAGAACATTGTTTTCTATGTGAAGCCGAGCATAACTTCTCACTACCTATCATTGTTATTATAATTACACTGTTAGTAATTAAATTGATACATGAGAACAAAAATTATCAAGGCATGATTCCCAACGCTTTTAGATTGATTCCATTTTTTTTTTTTTTTTTTTAAAACATCAATGTTAAATTTGTAAAACTGGTGTATTTTATATTCTTTTTTTTATTTTTAAAAAAATCAGTGCCCTTTAAAAAATTAGTGCCCTCTTTAAAAAAATAAAGTCCCTTTTTAAAAATATCAATTTCCCCATTTAAAAAAATTTGTGACCATTTTTATAAAAAAAAAAAAAAATCAGTGCCTTTTTAAAAATAAATAATATATTTAGTACTTTTAAAAAGTTTTGTTAAAAACTGTAAATTTAAAAAAAATAAAAACGTTAAAAAATTGAGCTTTTAAAATGGTGTCCATTCTTTTCCTTAAATTACTACTGGATGAAGACTATTTATTTTTTTTACAATAAGAGGACATATATATTTGAACTTGAAAGTATATAACAACTTACCATATCATCCGGGGTCAAAATACCACAGTTATATTTCTGGATGACGCGCATTAACCTGGTGGGCTGTGTGACATGATGACCAAACGTGTCCGCTATGGCGTTTCGAAGTCTTTGATTATAACTCGGATCTAGTATTACTGTATCTTCATCAGCTTTGGTGATGCCGCACTGAGATAGCTGTTTGGAACTGTCTTCAATTTCAGCGCAAGCCATGTTTTGTGTTTTGTGTTGATTTCTTGACTACTGGACTGGGTTTAAATATACACATCATATTCCTTTTTAATATAGTTTAATGTTTAAGATTGAACAATGTTACAATTTATAATATAGCTAACATTAACATGTAGAATACACGTTAACTCTGTTTATTTGGGTGCCATAGTAACGGTAGTTATAGCCTTGTATTACGGTTTATGTTAAGGAATAAAAGGGAAATATGGTTAATTTTAGATTAAGTGGATTGAAGTAAGAATTAATTATGTTTACTTCATTAATTTATCCTAAAATATTAAAAGGTAAATTCCATCCGTCTTACCTGTATCCGTTACGTAATTAACGAGGTGTCACTGTCGCTCCGTTGTCTACCTATCGTAAACTAAGATGAGTATGGTACTCACACGGTCGCTGAAAATAAGCAAAAAGTTTCTGTCTCGTTATTGTAAAAAAAAAAAAAATATGCAGAGGAAGATGTAAAATTGTATATACTTTACATCGAATATAACAGTGGCATTTCAGGGGAGAAATACGGTAACTGATAGTTATTTTTTTAAAAATAAAAATTTAGTGGAAGTTAGAGTAAGTAACAAAAATTATTTTGAAATTTTACATCGTAAATTTACAGTTTCCTATATGTTTAACATTTGGAAGGGTATTCTAGATACCCGGCTTCAATTTGTCTGTGATAAATGAAGAAAAAAGGTGGTCATACAAATGAATTTTTAAAAATGTATTTTCTTAAGTAAGGGTGGTAAATTTTTATGTCTTGAGAGATTTTTATTTGAGTTAAGTTTAAGATAAAGTTGAATGTGAATATATTTATGATATTTCTGTTATGCAAGAAGAGATATCGTGTGATGTGTTTTGACCAGACAATGAGGAGTGTGTGAATATGTAATACAAGAACAGTCGCATAAAGTATTGAAAGCGATTAGTACCAAACCCATCAGAATGTGTAATATATCGGTGTTATAATTTAATATCAGCTGTTATTTGCAATACTAAGATTATCATGGACTTTATTAGTTTGAAGGAGGCGGGGTAGAATTCATGCGAACATTCGGATAATGGATATGCTTACGTTTCCTAGATATTTTATGAAAATCTCGCTTGGGGATATAGAGCTTTTGGTATGACTCACACACAGTCCACGGGGTGAGAATCAATGAAAATTGACTAGATTTTTTAACAGATTTGTAATAAGGGGGACGGTGTTAAACATTTTCAAAGGTGACATACTTTATGAACGGCACCTTCTCAACAAAAACAACCAAAATAATTGTATCAAACTACGAATACATAGCTTTTTGGTCTTAACGTTAGCAACATAATATGGAAATGGCCCTTTCTTTTTAAAGAGATCGGTTTTTCCCTAAAAATATTTTTATCTCCGGGGAATTCGATGTTGACTGTGCATGAACCTTAATAAAACTACAATGAATTCTGAAAATTAAATATATCAAAACATCTTATACTCCTTTTCAAAATGACATTTTATTTCTGTAGTTGGTGGTATATATATAAAAGTTCAATTTTCATAACTTTTTAAAAGGCACAAGGAAAACACACAAGTCTCTGCATATGCCTATACTTATACTCCAACTCCCATACTTGTACTATACTATGGGTTTTCAGTGGTACACTAAACATGCTTTTATAGTGATTAGATTTCAAAGACATTTTTGATTGTGTTAAAATGTCTAATTATTACACTTTATTTGATTGACCTTTAATAAAGGTGGAAAATTATAGTTTTGTTATTATTTGATTTTTTTATATTCTTTACATAATTTAAAGAAGAATGAAATGGATTTTTTGATAAGACTGAGCTAAGCTCTATTCTGAATCATCCTAAATAGTATTTTCATTTTATTTTTATTTTCAGTGAAAAACAATATATAAAGAATATAGTTATAGTGAATTATTCAAGTTTTCATGATAATTACATATACAGCACATACAATAATAGTAAGAAAGTCCCGCATGATGCCCTTTATACATATTGGTGCATTGGAAGCTAACAACTATCTATAATATTTCTGATATACAGCCATTGTTTTACCCAAAACATTCTTGGCCCAGAAAGCATGACCACACCGAATGCTGTGGTGATACCGCAAAGGGTTTTGAGTGCTATGGGATCTATAGTATTTCGCTACAGTTAGCATCGTGTGGTTAAGAAGCGCTTATCAAAGCTAGGTTACACACCTGCGGTTGCATGCACTACTTCAGCACCTTCAAGACATTCATAAATATAATATACTGGTGTTCTAACAGTCGTTTTCCTACGCACACTGTAAATGATACATAATCTCACACGGTTGTAAATTACACAAGACCTCAAACTGTTGTGAATTACACACGATCTCACACAGTTGTGAATTACACACGAGCTCACATTTTGTGAATTAATAATAATAATAATAAAGTTTATTTTAAAAACACGCTTCATCCCCAAAAGCTCGAAGCGCGGTACAAAGTCAACCAAATTAAAAAGAGAAATAAAAACAATCTAAAATTTACCACATTTAAAAACAGACGCAACAATATAAAACTACATACGAGCATACCCAGTCAAAGTCTTTCATCCCGTTTCAGCCATAAGCAACACAAGCCAGTATACATTAACTGAAAAAGATGGTAGATAGCATCACCACAGAAGGTGTTTGCGAAATAGATGTGTTTTTAAATCGGTTTTAAAGGAGTCCAGTGTCTGGCTGTTTCTGAGAGCGATTGGAAAGGCGTTCCAAATTGTTGGGCCAGCAAATGCAAAAGTACGCTTTCCGTAAGTCTCCAGGCGAACACAAGGTATCGATATTTTGCCACTATCGGATGAGCGGAACTCTCTAGTGGGTACATAGGGCGTCATGAGTGCTTTGAGATAAGATGGCGCCAGGTCATGTAAGCAGCGGTAGCACAAAGTTACAATTTTGTACTCTATGCGAGCGCGGAACGGCAGCCAGTGCAGCTCCTTCAGAAGGGTTTTAGCATGGTCGAATTTGCGTTTGCGAAGAACAATGCGAGCCGCATTATTCTGTGCTCTTTGAATTATATCCAGGAGCGTAGCTGGGAGACCCACCATGAGAGCATTGCAGTAGTACATGCGTGATAACACAAATGCAGACATCAGCCTCTTTGTTGCATCAAACGTTAATTACACACGATCTCACACTGTTGTGAATTACACAAGCTCTCACATTTTCGTCAATTACACATTAACTCACACTTTTATGAATCACACATGACCTCACAATGTTGTGAAATACACACGATCATACACTGTTGTGAATTGCACATGAACTCACACTGTTGTGAATTACACAGGATCTCACACTGTTGTGAATTGCACATTAACTCACACTGTTGTGAATTACACAGGATCTCACACTGTTGTGAATTGCACATGAACTCACACTGTTGTGAATTACACAGGATCTCACACTGTTGTGAATTGCACATGAACTCACACTGTTGTGAATTACACAGGATCTCGCACTGTTGTGAATTACAAACGATCTCACACTGTTGTAAAATACACTCGACCTCACACTGTTGTGATTTGCACATGACCTCACACTGATGTGAATTACACAGGATCTCACACTGTTGTGAATTACAGTTGACCTCACACTGTTGTGAATTACACTTGACCTCACACTGTTTGCTATCTTATTAATTTCTGTACCAAATGGTGGAACCATCCATAAGATTCCATGCTGGCGGGAGTGTCTTAACCTTTGAAAACTGTTATATCAAACCAGGTAATGGGGCGTTGATCATGGTAATCATCTAATTATTGTAATTGATTATCTATCAATTTTTTACACATAGCAAGGACTTCAGAGACTATTGATTCATTCTGCCCGAGGAAGCCTCACAATATCGGTCTTACAAAAAATGTATTTTTCAATGACATAAAACTTCAGTAGAGAATAACACAGATACACAAGTGAGCAGCAGTCGCTACCAACCCGTGGCAGTTGATCAGTTTACATCTATGGGAGCACATTTATACAGTGCCTCAATTTCAAAAGATTATAAATTTTAAACATCAGGATAAACAAATATCAGGATGAATTTCACAGTGCACTTGGTAATGTACAGGAAAATGAATGCACTCACAACTACTTTTCACCAAAATACTGAGTAGGTGCTGCATGGTCTGCAAGACTCGCATCTCAGGCGGGGGCCCTTGTGTATCGTGTAATGGAGGAGGGCACCAATTTATTGACAGACGGCACACACTGAATGTTTCAGTCGTGTCGTCGTTCTACATAATTTATAATAAATAAGACCAATTTCTAGGGTTGTGTAACCAGGAATATGTGCAAAAGTCACGTGAAGATTTTAGAACGTTCTTACCTGTGAGTTTTCATGGGCTTCAAAAATCAAGATTATGCCACCAAAAAAATAAATAAGGTATTACTAGAGTACAAGATGAAGAATGTTAGTTTTAGTTCAACTTATACGACAGATACTAGTCACTGCGATGCGAGTAGTCATTGTATTCATTAAATATACTGTATGTTGTATTATTTACTATTAATAGACCGTATTGTACGATTTTAGGAGTTCGAGGGTACACAGGTCTGCAATGAACGAGAAAATCTAGCATCAATAATTGAAGATGGTAAATTTAAGGCGCATAGAATCTAGAAGGTCACAGCACGTGTGAAGATCTCATATTATTCTAAACATAAAATTTAAATTGTTTCAAAACGTCTCGTGTTCCATACGTTTTATCAAGTAAATTCAAATACCGTTGGTGGGCGGATGCACTTACGTCGCGGGACCCTTGATCAAGATTGATAACAATATGACTTTCGTCGTGCGGACAATCTTTATCATTATTTTGATCGCTTCATTTCATTTGTTCAAATTGTTTACAAAACTTCACAATTTACGAAACGAATTTTTTTTTTTAAACTAGTCAGATGACGTTTAACAACCAACTCAAGAAATTCAAGGAATAATAATTTATTTGGTAATGGTCAAAATCGTTTGAAGAGATATATTGAATATATTTTCAAACGTTTACAATGTCTGCAGTTAAACTTTTTTCATAATTGTCGCTAAAAACTTAATAATATTAATATCTTAATATTAATGGAAATTAACATTGTAGTAATGCGATTAACTAAATAATATTTATAATCATTAAATAAAAAAACAACAAATAGCATAATAAAAATGTACATTTGCCTTATTATTCTAATACATATAATAATGAACTAGGCTGACAATAACGTCAAAGAAACGAAACGATTTAAATACGTTCGGATTCTTAAAAACCATCATAATTATTTTCGGAATTATTAATTATTAACGGAAAACGAATAAATTTAAATGTGCAAAAATATTATATATCCGCTTTTATTTACGTAAAAGTTTAGGTATAATTATTATAAATTAAAAAATACATGAAATGTTACAACTTAGGAACTATTTAAAGCATTTTATCCGAATTTAAAAGTTATCGAAAAAAATAATTTAAAAAATATGATCTAAGGTTTACATCACATTTGTTTTTAGTGCTTTGTTAATATTGCGAAATAAAAAAAAAATAATTTGATCTAAATAAATACGCAAATGACCTAAAAGCTTGAATTGCCTGTTTAAGCCAAAGATCTAAGTTTCTTTGATATAATAATCGCGAGTGACAAAAATAATAATGTAATTTCCCTTCTTAAAAATAAAACAAATAAATAGAATTGATTGCTTTTAATTTTTTAATATAACACAAACATATTTAGCTTTTATTTTTAACATTAATAAAAAAATTCTTTTTATTCATTCCAAAAATATACTTTTATGAAATTTATAAAGCAATAGAAGCTTTACATTTAAATATATTTTTGATAAGTAAATGCCGTTTAATTCAAACAGTGTAGCGAAACTACACAGCCAAATAGCATTTACTAATGCACTTATCACTCATCCAAATTAGATCAAACCACATAAAATGCGAAAAATTTATATGTGCGTACGTAAGTGTATTAAAATTAGGACTATGAATATATTTTTATATTATACTTTTTTTTTTTTTTTTTGTTTTTGGGGTGTGTATAAAAATGTTTACATAATTACATGGGTGGGGGGGGGGTTGGGGGGGGGTCACTGAAAGTTTGACAAGTTGTTGCTTAAAAATTGTTGACGTATTTAAGTGACGCCCCCTGGGCTCAAGATTTAACAATTTAACAACAAATTGCATCTAGACTAATGTATTTCTCTAGTGAAGAAATCAGCCATCAATTAACTCCTTTAGTGACAAAAAGATTCAATTATTTATAATATATTTGTTAAATTAAGGTAATTTTTAGATGGGAAAAAATTGTTGTTTCGGGCCGCGAAGAAAGGTAGGGTAAGCGTATAATGTATAGCACAGAAATACTTCTCAAAACTTAACAATGTTAGAAAAGTAAACATCATTGCATAGATGCTTCTTTTTAAAATAAGGCATTGTGATAGGTTCTTGCAATGGCAGATAGAAATTATTGCAAAGTGCTTCCCATTATTATCTCGATAACATAGGGGGATTTTAGAGAGAAAAAAGTAGTTTATGGGGTAAGGTAAACGTAAAATATAAAGCACAAAAATCCTCCGTAATAATTTTAATGATGTTAGGAACATAAATATCATGTATGATTTAGAAATATTTAACACTATAATTAGCATGATTGCTTTATGTAAAAGCCACCTTATTTAACGGAAACATATTTTTTCTTAAAATATATTCTTTTCATTAATGAAGGAATAAACTAACAAATTAAATAATTGAAATATTAAAAATATCAATAAACAACACTTATTAGTAACAACTTAAAATATAGTATTTGTATAAATATATCAATGTCAAGAGTCACACAGCTTCTGTTAATCTCCGATTAAGTGCACAGTGATGCAATCCTAAATTTAGGTATGCGCCAAAAAAAAATCAATAAACAACACTAATTAGTAACAACTTAAAATATAGTATTTGTATAAATCTATCAATGTCAAGAGTCAGCCAGCTTCTGTTAATCTCCGAATAAGTACACAGTGATGCAATCCATAAATTTAGGTATGCGCCAAAAAAAAATCAAAGTATGTTAAATATATCTTAAATGTTCTTGGTAAGGGCTCGTTTATACCTCTCCTAGGATCCCCCCTCCCCCCGATTAGCTTTAGAACTTTTGATTACTGCTTTAAAAAGGTGAAACAGGTTGGGGGACAAAAGAATACCCTAGGGTGCACCATAACCACGATTATTTCAGGTTGTGTATTCTAAAATTCATAATTTGCACATTGAGAGATGCACCCCCCCCCCACACACACACACGCCTGAAAATTTCTGGCGAGGGTAAAAAACACGCTGAAAATATAAATGCCCCCTCCCCACCCCGAAGAACATGTTCCGAAGGAAACATTGTACACGTGCAATCAAAATATTTCTGAATGTTTGTATTATAGCTCTCTTTCTCTAATAAATTTTTAAAGTAATCCCTGGAATGGACAAAAAAATTTGTATAATAATTAAGAAAATCCGTACAAGGTTTTTTTTGTGTGGTTATTCCTTACAGAAATGTATGTGATGAATCAACGTAATCATATGTTCATGACAGCACAGGGCTGTATTAATTTTTTAAATAATTTTTGTAATGCACTTTTACTTGTTTAAGCTGCTTAAATTATTATTATGGAAATGCAGCAACATCTCTACGTACGCTAATATTTCAATATTTAATTGTTTACAAAATTAATCGAATTTTTTCTCAGTGAATGCTATTAGTTCGGTTGATTGCAGAACTAAAATAGACTTCCTAATGATGACAAGATCATACACAAAAAAAAAATTGTTTATTTCTCTATGATTGAACAATTCTTCTCATGGATAGTATCTACTTTTACTTGTAACAAACCTGGAACCAGTTCATGGTCACTGACATCTATTCTAAGTTTGATTTTAGCATTCTTCATAAAATGATCGATATGCATGTCTGCGATTGTAGACAATTGCTTAGAATATGATAAAATGGAAATTCATACTAAAAAAATCAATCAATTTGTTTTACAATCCCCAGCTGTCATGTTTTCCAATTGATCCTACTTCTCGTCTAAGTGATGATAACCATGAAAAACTAACAGTTACAGGAGGATCTTCCCAGTTGTGTGAACATTTTTGTAATCACAACAGAATCTCTCACTTTTGCATTCACTAAATACTAACTATTTTAAATTCACTGGGGATCTTGAAAGCTGGTGATCTTCGGTGTGATATTTTTTTACCTATTAAATACAAAAGACTTTTCATTTGCCTTTCTTTTACATTGACGTCTCCTGTCCTGTTGTCAAATAATACGGCGCCACGACATTCTTCTATCAATTCTTTTTGTGGTCCTACTAAATTAGAACAATATTCTGAAAATGATTTTTTTTCTTTATGTTCCAACTCATAATAATCACCATAGGTGGTCAGAAAAACACAAAAGTTTCTTAAAAAGTCCGAGCCAAAGTTTTTTTTTAACAACGTAAGGATTTCTCGATTTTCCATTGAAAAACCACTACCATACTTCCACACAAAAATAAAGACATCAACCCCATGACCGAGAGTTGCACCAATCTTTGATATAAATCGTTGAAATAAGTCGCCAGTTGCGCAATCAGGAAAACCCGGGCCATCTACTAACTTCAAGCTGATTCCCTTGTATTTACAACATTCAATGCCGATGTCCTCAAATGTTGTATTTTCATCATGTGCATTAAAAGCTCTGCGTCCCAAAATGGTGTTTCCAGTTTCACTTTTCCCAGCACCCGTTATACCAACGAACAACAGAGTGAGTCCATTGTGATGCATCTTATTCCACTGCTCCTAAATTATTTTTCAAAATTAAATATGTTTATATAAATTATCAAAATAGCACTAGGCGGTTATATTTTGATACTAATATGAGTATACATTAATATTAATATTAATAAGACCTATAACCTACTGACCTTGATTCTGAACAATGTGACGAGTCCCTACAAGTGATATTCTCATGTCTCATTCTTTCACAAGTTCTTACTTGATAATCACACAAGAACTGAACACAATTTTTATTCCATGAAGAACGTAAACATTAATCCACGTTATCTATCATCCGAATATACAATAATTCAAACACATAGCTCTACTCGCTATAGGAAAAGAATCACACCTTTCTCACATAATAGCCATACACTAATGGGAGTCGCTTAGTCAATTATTTTGTCACGTGATATGAGTAAAAACGAGTAAGATTTCCGGTATATTGTATACAACACACTAGTGCTTGACAACAGTAGCCCGATACACACTACAACTACACTACATTTCGTCCAATGAAAATTAACAATAAAATAAACAAAGGGGAATGACTCCTGCATCAATATTGAATAAAAACGCAAATGACGTCATGAGCACGCACGGAGCTCAACAACATCCTGCCGATAATAGTATTGATAGTTCCCATCGAATATCGCTCACAAATTTTTCTTGAAATAACTTTCTTCCTTTAATCATAACTGACGTATATTTATTGTCACATTTATGGATTTCATTTAAAAAACGTATGCATTCCAGAATATTACGAAAGGTAAAATTTTTAAGTAACATGACATTGGGGAAGCACTGATGAAGTATCTTTTGTTGTGTGTTGCAGCCTAGTGATGACTTACTCATATCACGTGACCAAACAAGGAAGTGACTAAGCGACTCCCATTGCCAAACGAATAGCACATACTTAAAGGCAGTCTAGAAACTATGTCACATATAATAAAATGATGTCATGAATACTTAATGTGTAGCATGACGTCAAGAGCTTTTATCAACGAAACTAACAAGTCAGACACATCGCACACAATGAAACACAACATTCGGTGCGCAACAATTACTCGACACAAAGATAAACTATAAACTATTTTGGAAATAATATCCTCATGTTCTATTGAACCATTTACAGTTTATCGACATAATTCAAGCCTTATATCTTTATGTCTGTTCATATGTCCGATTCCGAAATATTAATCAGTTAACTAATTACCTTTTCTGATTTACTTAGAAATTTTTTTTTAATCAACTGATACATTTTTCTTAAAGACCGTATTTATTTTTGACAAATATTTACTTACTGATACGAAGCAGGTCATTTTATCTGAGTTTGAATCAAGAAACTGGCCAAGACTTGTCGGTAATGCTGTAAACATAATTGATTTGAAAACATCAAACATAAACTACACACAATTTCTAATGTAATCTACTATGAAATATTTATAGCTTATCAGTCCAATCGAATATCACCACTCTAATAAGTGTATTTTTGCTGGTTATAAACTCGGCTGTGGGTGCACATATTGCTGATTGGACCGATTATGGAACGAAATGTTCTTGTGCAATAGTCCAGGGGATTGATGATATATCTCCAGGTAAATAGCTAACCTGAAATTTTCTCACATGTCTTTTGTTCTCTACCGTTTCTGTTCATTGACTTTTAAATTGTATGGAGCATCTCTGTAGAGGAACGTCGCAATGTTCAGTCATATGCCGAATATTTCCATTGTCCGGTTCTATATCGAATGCTTTCAATGAGGGTTTTAAGTTGTCTTTAAAGAGCTTCTTCTACCCACCAGCTAAACGCTTTCCAAATTTGAGCTTACCACAGAACACTATTCTGTGAAAGCGGCCGTCTGTCCTCCCTAGTCAAGCTGGGACTGCATTAAAATGGTAAAGATGTTCTGGGAGACATGCTTGTGTGAGTACCTCAGTGTCTGGGAGCCTGTCTTGACATTTGATCTCGGGAATTTTTTTTGGGACTGTCTTATGAAAGTGGTTCAAACTTCTTGGATGGGTTTGATAGACGGTCCACGTTTCACTGGCCTAGAGAAAGGAAAGGCGTGCATCCACCTCATACACACTTTTATTATAGTTTTAATGGTGATACCTCTTCTGATCCATACATTATTGACAATTTGCTATAGGTTGCACGCGCTTTTACAATACACAGGTTAAACTCGTCTTAGATGTGTTCAGAATAAGGAATTTTCAGGAGCTGGCTGGTAAAAGGGCCTAAGTTTTCTTTGTGTTTTAATGTTGAGATCGAAGTTTATGCAGGATTTGGCGAAATTGGTAACACAGCGATGCGTACCGCGTCTGATCGAACGTTTAGGCACAGTCAGGGAAATCCTTGATGATGTCTTTTAGGACCTTGGAACTGGCACGTAGCCTCTTAAGGTTATTCAATTTCTCATCAGCATTCTGAAATGGGGATTATTTTGATGAAACGAGGCCATAAATCGCTTTAAGATTGGAGTATAAATTTGAAGATAGCGTCTATTTTGTGCATGCTTTTCATGACCATAATATATGATGTGGCTTAAAGCTGTGGTCCCCAAACACCGGGCCGCAGACCGGTACCGATCCGTGGATCAAATGGTACCGGGCCGCCCAAGAAACATTAAATTATTTTCATTTTATAAGATTGCCAGATCTTCTGGATGATTAGTAAGGACGTAAGGACACAGGGGCTCACAGCGACCGGAACCATACAGGCGGCTGGGGTGGGGGTGGTGTTGTTGTGCTTGATTTTTTTTTTTGGGTGGGGGGACACTCTCCCCCCTCCCCCAAACTTGTACGTACAATTAGCTTTTAGCCCCCATCCCTATAAAAAACACCAAAGACATCAAACGATTTAATGAATAATTGCGACGTCACAGAATCAATATATTCTTTTTTAATGAGTCGCATGTTTATACTGCCGACAATTCGGCCAGCCCAGTGGTCCCCATATTATGCATCGCTCTGGGTGCCCATGTTGCTCTCGGGTAGAGCCAATGAGAATAGGGCAAAGAGGGCAGTCACAGCGGGCACTTAATTCTTCTTTATATGGTATCTTAATAGTGAATTAAAATATCAATGGCGGAATACCATGAGATTGCCACAACAGCACTTAAATCCCTATTGCCATTTCCGACATCCTATCCGTGTGAAGCGGGGTTTTCTGCAGTGACAGCAACCAAAACAAAACTACGGAATAAACTGGACATAAACAACACACTTCGGGTGTCATTGACTCCTATGACCCCAAGATCGAACCATCTCGTGGCAGAAAAACAAGCTCAGAGTTCTCATTGATTTAGCTTTATAGTGAGTTAAAATGATCAATCAGTTTATAATAATTTTTGATGTAACTGTATTTTATTTTGAAGGCATGTTTAAGTACAATTAAATAAAAATAATCAAACAAAACAATCCAAAATATAAAGAATCAACACCTCCAACACGTCAGGAGGCCACGGTAAAATTATCAAACGTTGACCAGTCCGCGGCGATAAAAAGTTTGGGGACCACTGGCTTAAGGGACACAACACATTACTATCCGTATGATGATGTGCAAGGTTTATTTTAAGAAAATCCTTAGTGGATATACGAATGTTTAAGAAATACACATCATTGGAAATTATGTCAAGAAAGACAATTAAATTGCCTTTGAAATAAATGACTAATTTACAACTCTTTTAGTCTGGATAGCCATTAATAAGGTACTTTGTTATTGACTCCGTGATTGCACAGGGATAGTTCAAAGGTTAAGATAAAGTAGAACAATCAGACCGTTTAATTAATTACAAATATTGCTTAATTTAGAGATTATTTTCGCGTTTTAATTCTTATACATACACCTTGCAAGCAACGGCTGGTGGCTATGGGGAGAGGGAGACAAACTAATGTAAAACCGAGGCCAAAGGAGAGCGCGTCAAATTTACCTTCACAAAAGCTAATAGAAATTGCTGGCATGAGGATAAAATGACCTACTACTTATGACGTAATTTTCTTATTTTCCTTCCAACAGTACAGTGTCACCAAAGGTAGCAGAACTGAAACTCTCGCATTTTGAACACGCCCGGGGGTTTGTTTCAACGGTGCATAGCTCCAGTCGCCACGCGTTCCCAGAAGGCAAAAAGAGTGTATGTTGGGCAGTTGGAGTTAGAAATCGGTTTCTCAACATATGAAATATTATTCATGTGGTCCTGAATCTGGATCAACTTTTACAAAGGAGGAATAATAATGTCCAGGTGTTTTTAAAAAGAAAAAAAAAATTGCTCAATGTTTCATAGATATGCGTGATTTTGTTACGAACATTTGTCGTTCTGTAAACGTTCTCTGTCATTGGAAGTGGAAGTGTTACCGACAAGTAAGTGAAGTGAATGTAAGCTTCGTTCGAAAACCAAATGTTCCTACAAAAATCTGGAAACCTCGTACACTTTGTGTAAAAATGCTGTCTAAAATATATCATACTTCCTCGTGTATCTGACTCAGTCAAAAGTTGTACGGAACAAAAATGTTCATTGGTCCTTTAAACAAATTGGCTAACAGGGGTACAAATTATGTTCTGTTTCCAAGATGGACGTCTTAGGCTTTTTAGGAAAGAATGTTCGTGATTCTCGTCTGTGGAAACCAGTACTGGCCAATGAAGCTTCCCATTCCTGTTGATACAATACACTTCAATATTTGCGAAATTTCAAAACAGACAGAACAACTGTGTCAATTTGTAGCGTCTTAATAATCTCTATCTGAATTGCTCTATCACCCTTTTCAACTCAGTCCCCATTCGCGACAATGTATATATAAGTGAAATTTAGGATGAACTATGAATCCTTTATTTATTCTTGTGGAGACTTATTTCAAACTAGCTACAAATGGAAAAATATATGCTTTTTTACTTCTGGGACCGCGCAGCGACTAATGTTATGCACCGTTCACAATTTCACAGACGCTATCAAGATGTGAAAGATTCATGTACGTTTCTTTTGGCGCATGCTTTATAAAAATATTAAAGATGATTTTAAAAAGGTTTGAAGGGGTTCACTACAGGTTTCTATGTGGCAGCCTCAGCAGCACTGATAAGCGCGTTGATTATAAATAAATTAAATAAACTAGTGGACATAATCAAATCGACTTTCAATATTTGACTGATGCAGACTAATCAAATGGTTGAAGTTGATTCAATTATAATAAAAAACTTGAACAAACTCAGATTAGGGAGTATGTTAAAAAAACTACATATATATTACCTGGTTCTTCCTTTAAAAGCTTTACTTCCACTTTAAGATCTTCTTTTTCTTTGGTATATGAAAATGAAGACAGAAAACAACATTCATTATTCAATAGGATTGAAGTTTCAAATGATTATTTTTAAAAGATAAATTTCAATTTAAATTTGTGGAATTTGTAGTAATGGGGATGAAATAATTTCGAAACCTAAGTTCGAAAAAAAAATCGTTAGTTTCATTTTTCTTAAAATATTTAAGTTTTAAAATGGTTAAGTTTAAAACTTAACGATTTTAAAACTTATCTATTTTAAAACTGATCTATTTTAACACTTATATATTTTAAAACTTAACTAGTTTAAAACGTAACTATTTTAAAACTATTTTCGATTTTACTCATAATAAGTTTAATTTTTTTATTTACTATTTCAATCAACTTTTTAAAGTTTATTTTAAAATAAAAGATAAATAATATTTTGTAGATCAAAATTGATGAGGTTTATTTTTATATAGTCTATTTTTATTTTGTATATTTGAGCTGTCAAAATGATCCTATACTTTTAGAAAACAGTCATAAAAATAATTCAAACCCCTTTTGTGAAATTAAAACTAATATTCTACAAAATTTAGAATTACCTTTAATTAATGACTTGAGCTTTTCGTTTAAGGCAATGGTGGAATTCTTTTCTTTCTCTAGTGTTACGTTTATTTGTGGAATCGAAATATTTCTTAACTCATCATGAGAGTTCTTTTCCTCTGCAAATTCTCTCTTTAACTCATTGTGAGAATCCTTCTCTGTTATAAATTCTCTCCTTAACTCATCATGAGAGTTCTTTTCCTCTGCAAATTCTCTCTTTAACTCATTGTGAGAATCCTTCTCTGTTATAAATTCTCTCCTTAACTCATCATGAGAGTTCTTTTCCTCTGCAAATTCTCTCTTTAACTCATTGTGAGAATCCTTCTCTGTTATAAATTCTCTCCTTAACTCATCATGAGAAATCTTTCCTTGATTAACTTCATTCTTTAACTCCTGATGATTAATATTTTGTTCTTTACAATTTTCCTCAATTATTTCTGTAATAAAAAAGGAAATTATTATTAGAAAAATGTTTAGTTTTTGTTTGGCACATTTATATTTCAAAATATTTTGGATGCGGCTTAATCTATATTTAGTCCCACTCAGTGGCAAATCTTGTGTAGGGGTGCATGAGTAACTACACGGGGTGGGAATTTTTCAAAATAAACTTTAGTTGCATTTATTTTGGAATAAAGAACATATTTTTGTAAATATACCATCTGTTTAATGTGATAGCAATATTTCAAGCTATATCACAAATTAAAACTGATTCAAAAGATTGCAGAATTATTTTAATGGCAAAATAATTATCAATATATATAAAAACATGTTTTGGTGAACATCATACTTGCAAGTACTTAAAAAATAAGTACACTACTAAATAAGTAATTCTAAGCAAACCCTTGTTCGCGAGGAGCCCATGCATTTTCCCCAGCCTTTTTTCACTCACCTTTATTCAAATATCTAGTATTATTGTTTAGATGGTGCAAGTTTAGGGTTTGAAAATGAAGCTTAGTCTAATTTTGCCATTATATGCAAAGGAATTAAAAATGGTATATAATATAATATTTTACTTGAAAATGATCATATTTATTAACGCCACAGCAGTAATGTTTATAATGATTTTTTGCATCTTTGGACTATGGCACGAGTCGGCATTTAGTCAAGATACACCAGCGGGCACGCTAACTTGTAACGCTATTTTACTCTTTAATAAATATATATGTCACCTTTTTCCTGTTTAAGTCTTGTCATCTCTTCTTTCTGATTGGCTGAATCTTGTTTTAGTATTTGTAGCTCTAAATGTTGACATAATAATATTGCGAAATTGTTAATAGTTGAGCCAATGGAAAGGGCCTTTAACTAAAATGTGAATATTATATAATTTTTTTACCGATTGGATAATAAATATGTGTTTTTAAAAAGTGTTTATTTTTTGTATTTTTTTGTACAATGTGTTTATTTTTTTAAACTGTGTTTATTTATTTTTTTTATCGAAGTGTTTATTTTTGTTTTTTAACAGCTCTTTGTTAAAATATAATTTTTATACAGTTTATTTTAAGTGGGTAATAAATGAATTACAGTGTTAAGTCTATGTGAATGAAATAGTATAACAAGGTTTGTGGAAGTTTGAAATAGAAAGACAGGAAAGTAAAAAAAAAAAAAACATTTCTGTCTTGATAAAGGGAGGACATTTTTAAAGGTTTGTGGGAGGCATTATAGAGCCCATCTCGATACATAAACTGAATTCAATCCGGTTATGTCAAATAATATTTTCTTTGTGAAATGAAATAGTATAACAAGGTTTGTGGAAGTTTGAAATAGAAAGACAGGAAAGTAAAAAAAAAAAAAAAACATTTCTGTCTTGATAAAGGAAGGACATTTTTAAAGGTTTGTGGGAGGCATTATAGAGCCCATCTCGATACATAAACTGAATTCAATCCGGTTATGTCAAATAATATTTTCTTTGTGTTACATGGGTGAGAAAATGTGTTGGGTAGTCCTATATTATATACAAAATAAAAAGTTCTCGTAAAATAATGATTTAAGAAACATAATAATCTATATATATATATACTTGTTTGTAAATTATCAAAGTTTTATCTACTATTTCTTATAAATATATTTAACGTTAAAAAATATGTTGTCATTAATTTTAACTACCAATTTAGTTTCGAATAATTGCCTCATGCCTGATATACATATCTTAATTTCTCTTATAAAAAGGTTCTTTTCTCTTTGTTAATCTAAGTTTATAACAACATCTCTCACAGTTAAAGTCTCTGTTGTTCCAATACTTAGGATGTGATTAAAAAATTGAAATTGCAATGGAGACTTCTAATTAAATTGTCAAAAACTATTTGGAAAACCCATTTTACGTTATCATAAAGTTCGTACCTTGGTTTAATTCTTTAAGCTGAGCCTCAAACATTTTAAGCATTTCTCCTTGTTGTCTGTTCAAGTTTTCTGTTAAGTAAATGTAAGACTCAGAGTTCAAATTAAAGGAAATATCAATATTTATGTTTTTAACCAGCTGTTTATGTCACCTCGGACCCCATCTGCGTCTTTAATTACATTGAATGAAAAAATCCCGCTATTTACAAATAATACAGAAATTAAAATCTTTAAACATAATGACATATTATTAATTGACAAATATCTTTAAATAACTTGATGGTGTCACCCATTATTACCTTCAATTAATTAAATTGTAAATCTGAACACTCTAAGGGATTTTTTTTAAAAAATTAAAAAACTTACCGTTATTATCTTCTAACTGTGACACTTTCTGCGTCAGTGTTGTCACCTCCTGTCGTTGTTTCGCTATTTTCAAACAATGCAGAAATGAAAACTTTGTTTTTTTAAACATCTTTTCCAAATTTTTAAAATATCTAATGTCCGTAACAAGCTTAAATTCAATTTTTTCTTATTCTTAGTAGCGCTATACTACGTTTAAATTTTCTAATAAATAAGTTTACAAAATAAGATGTGATGCACATTTGATAATTTATTTGTATCTTGAGAGATGCTTGAATGTATTTTTGTAAGTAATGAATTTATTTCTACCTTCTTCTCCATGAAAGTATACATGTGGCATGTCTTTAATAATAATGCTAAATAACTTCCACAAATCTGTTCAATGACTCCCCCCCACAATCCCCTGATACAGTACAGGTGCACCACAGTGGCATAGGAAGGGTGCGCGTAAGGGGGCGAAGACCCAGGGTGGCACTTATTTTTTTATGGAGGGTGGGATTTTCGGTCAACTGCAGTTCTGTTTCGTTGAAAGGGACTGAAAAAATGTGTAGTCCACTTGGGTGGGAATGATTCTAGCTGTGCATCAGCTAATACTAAAAGAAAATTACTTAGGACTATTTTTAGTCTCATGTTCTCCCGTCTTTGACTCACGGAAGCTCTGTGATCTAGAAAAATGGAACATTTCAGATTATTTTTAATAGATATTTAAAAATCGTAAAGATTACGAACTTCTTATTATTTAAAGTACAGGTTTATAGATATACATTTGTAAAATATTTTTATTCAGGTGCAGATTTAATTTTATTAAGTCATCAAAATTTTAATTTGTGTTCAGATAATACTGATTTATAATGTTGTTTTTCATATTTGTATTGAAATAGTTTTATCCAGAAATTGTTGTCAAACTTACCAGGGTGCATAGTGCTACTTTCTATTTCCTGAAGCATAAACAAATGTGAGAAAAGTCACGATTTTAATTTTTTTTTTTAAATTTCATTTGACAATAAGGGATATGTACAAACATTTCCATGTCAAGTGTTATTAATTACCTTTTTTTTTGTGTTGTTGTTGTTTTTAAATCAAATAAAAACTGAATAGAATCATATCTTAACCTCATTTGTTGGAGCCAAAATTTGCTCATCCAAGTCATCTGCAGAGAAATTAAAAAGATTTGAAAATATCATAAAATATTTTCTATAACCATACTATAATAAATGGTGAATACTTTAAAAATGTATACATTGGAAATTGAGGGTTTGTCACATTGTGACTCTTTTACTGCATTCAAATGTAACAACTGTCAAAAAGTTTAAATATTATAATCATGTTTAATACGCAAGTAAATTTATAGTTCTGTTTGGATGGATTCACACATCCTTGAGTGGAATAGTTAAAAGACATTTATGGTTCACTTAGAATGCCTAATTAAAGCATTTTTTAAAATTAGCGCTACTGACCTTTACAAGCTTGAAATTCTTTCTCTAAAAACCCCAGTTTGATGCTGTCATCCTTGACTGCCTGTAGTAAACACTGGAACCAATTTTTGTAGCGATAAAGCCGATCCAGCAACGCTTCATTCGCTGTCATTCGTCCATCTTTCTCAAGTTTTATTTTCACGTAGTCCTTTTTGATGTAAGAGACGGAATGGACGTTAAAAAAATCAGAAATATAGACAGGAAGTTGTATATTAAACCTTAAGTCAGCCTATTAACGTCTATACCAGTTGTAGGCAATAATTTCAAATATATATTAAAGATATTTGCAGCCTGAACATGAAGTCAACTACTAAATCTCCCAACTGCTAATCACAATCTCAAAAATTTCGGTTTTTGTTATATTAAAGTGGGCGACTCCTTTTGTTAAATCTTTTATATTAACTTCGATTCTGTTAGTGTTCAATTGCGGCCCATCCTTGGAAGGCTAATAGACCAATGTCACGTCATCCTATCGAGCAGAAATTTGGTTCATAGACTCGTTGCCAATAATAAACATTTATTAAAAAATTCAGCCACACCCCACCCCCAATAATCAGTGTTATCTTTTTTATATGGGTAGGAATAATAATTATTTGTTCTAAGGTGTTTTGGTGTGGAGGTTAACTGTGTCGATGACGCTATGTGCTTGGAGTTGTGATTTATATGGATATGCATTAAAAGTAAAATGTAATTTTAAAGGAAAAAATGAAAGCAATATTAAACGTGGTTTTTTTTGCCAGAGGTATAACCAATTACATAACAACTTCTTAAAATAGATGAATCGCGTGCAATTACATAAATGCAAACAAAAAAGCATATAAAGGATTTATAAGAAAAACTTTGTTTTTAGGGTTTTGTTTTCTTATATTGATAGAAACGTATGGAAATAAAAACATGCAAAAACTTCAAAATTATAATCATTAGCAGAGGGGCGTCAAGTTGGACCATAAGAACGTTTGAGGGCAGGCTGGAAAAATCGACATCAAGGGCCATACATCTTTTGTAAGAGCAGACACATGTCTGAAATGTGCGTTCAGTAGGAGTGCTGTACGTTCCCACGTGAGGTCACACCATTGTGCATTCATCCTTCTGACTAATGATGTGTGAGTATTGTCTCACTGACTCACCGACGGACCCTAAGCAACACGCGCCATTTCATTTATACCTTTTCACATCCCAAACACTTTCTTTGGACCAACAGGATTTTGATCCACACATTTCCCGAGACCTGATATGTGTTCCAACCTACAAAATCTCAGGAACACATTTATTAAACAACTTTCGGAACATCCTACATAATCACCGACATCTCTCCAACCTAGAACACCCAACTTCACTTTAATATAATAAGGATAATTACAGGATTTAAACTAGATACTTTCTTTCGGGTACTACGGCTACTTAAGTTTTAACTTTAAAAAAACCCAACTTTTTCTATTACAAATCTCTCTGCAGAAGCAACGATTTTTCTCTCTTTATAAATGTTTGCAATGCCTCATAAAATAAATGATTTGACATCTGTTTATTAGAATATGCGTTCATAGCGATGTAAACCAATGAAAGATCTGAATCCCGTCCTGTTTGCAACATCAAACTATATTTATATATATTTAAAAAAAAAAAAATTAAAATTACATCTTTTTGACATAAGTTAACAAAAAAAACTGATCTGCATTTTAACATTCATGGATTAAAAGTTTCGAATTCATGTGGTTGCAAACAATAAAGTTCTCATGTCCGGGTCTGTCATGTCATTTTTTTTTCTTTTTGACACTTGTAGTTTTAATAATCACGAGATTATCTTCTAAGTTACATTGATATTTAATTTAAAATATTGAGTGGTTAATTAAGAATAATGTGATACAGGATATAAAAGTATTGAGATGAACCAGAGACTGTTTGGACAAGGTTTGAAGCCCAACCTCTTAAACATGGTTACGGGAAATTTGTACCAATTTTTGTAAAATCAATTTTTCCTAGCCTATATGTACCTCACATATTTCTACAAAGGACTTGTGTTTCAAATTTTCTTTCAATATTAGTTAGAAATTATGAAAATTTGTTCGAAAAAAAAGCTCACTCCAAAATATATTAATGTTTAAAGATTTCACCAATTTTCCCTCGAAAGTTCTTTTAAAAATATTTATTAAATAATGAACACTACCTTCAATAAAACTAATTCCATTTCGAACACAGTTCCATCGCAGTAATTGATTTTATAGTATTTTGTGAATACTCTTGAACTCTTCGTGTTACAAAAATATTTCTTAGGATTTATTTTTATAAAAGTTACTCATTCTGATTTACACAAATTACGTCATTCATGACTCGTGCTAATTGAATTATCAATTAAGATTAATTAACGACTTACAATATCTACGTCTATGAGGACATCACTGTTGTATTTTTGCAGTATTCGCATCAATATATTTGGATGTGTCACGTCACGAGTGAACTTCTCTGAGATGGCGTCTTTGAGTTTGATGTTGTATGTGGAGTCGACTATGGCGATATCATCATCCGTCGCGTTAGTCGCCATGTCTGTTGATCATTTGAAGAGTTAGGCTCCACAAGAAAAGAATTTAATATGTGTTGTTTTTTAATCAAATAAAAAATAAACAAAAAAACTAACTAATTAAAACAAATCGGAAGAAAGACATCTTGCCATGCAAATATATATATTAAAAAGAACACTAACTTTAAATATCACTATTGGTCATGATATATCAAATCATTTATACGCCCAACTTCCTACCACGTAAATCAAAATGATACCATTGTCTTAGTTATCTAACCACAGCATCATCTTACATTTTGACATGCAGGACACATGATTACCCACAGTCTCTGAAGCTTTCGACGAATACTGCTAATATCACTTAAAACTTTATTCTGCGCAGTGTTACGCTATTGGGAAAAGAACTACTGCATAGTTAAATGTAGGACTGTAAGAAACTATCCTACAAAAATATGACGTATAATATGCGTTCCGTCCAGAAAGGAAAGATGCCATTTTAGAATTAGAATGCTTGGCAACAGTGTGGACTATACTTCGACCACAAAAGTTTTTATTGGGTACGACCATAAAGCACTATTGCATTTCAACAAAAACAATATTAGTTATAAGAAATGTAGACCATAAAGCTATAAGTTATGCTAGAATTGCTAAATATACATATTATAAAATAGATTGTCATACATCGCTAAGTAAATTGTTGGCCTACGTGTCATTATTATTTTTAAACTCATTAATCTATGGTACCCATGTCTCTATAATAACTGCTTACAAATCCCTTAAAAGTAAAAGGAATTTAAAAGGATTAATATTTTACATTGTTATTAAATCTCTACGTTCTCTATTGTTAAACAAATAAGCCCATAAATGGCTTCCCTTCTCATAAAAAATCGGATTTTCCCCAAAAATCGACTCAATTGAAAGCCTTTAAAAATTATCAATAAAGTTTCATTGCATAGAAATCACAGGCCTATTAAAGAAACATTTTGCAGATTATCCTTAAAATATGGGCACAAGGGGCCTAGACGCTGGTTCAATGGGCTCTGGATATGATTGTGTTGCAAGGTGATAGAGAAATTTCTTTACTTACACTTTTATTTTATACACTTTCAATCAATTGAATTATTTGAATTTATGCAGCTGCAATAGTGTCTGAAAGCGGTATCATTACCAAGTTTTACCACAGCGTTATTTTACATGTTTACGTTTTCATGTTTTACATACGTTGACATGTGGATTTTGTTAATTAAAATGTTAACAAATAATTTAAGCACCTGATCCGCACTTTTAGCCTTTAGCTAGAAATTTTAGTAGGCTGATCACTGAACAAGATGAATGCTTCTTGGCTAATGTTTAGCCTAGTTTAGGCTAAATTAAGCTTTTTAGATGTTTGACTTAATAAAACTTCTTAACATACATTATTTATGTTGGCTATTCCATTTTTCAAACAGCATTTGAAATCTAACTTGCACAAATATATATTGATGGTAAAAGTAATTTAAATACTAGTTTAGCTCACTTTTACGATGGCCTCACAAAGACGTTATTGTGCCCACGTTATTTCGGGAATTACCTTTTTACGGGAAACCATAATCTTTTTACACGCCCACCAAGATTAAGACTTTGGTTTTTAAAATGTTAAATAATCAAGGTGCCGTATTTTAGCACATATAAGACGCGTCTTGTACAAAGTTTGACATACCCCGCACCCAGGGTGCGTCTTATGTATGGGTGCGTCTTATGTATGGGTGCGTCTTGTATATGGGTGCGTCTTATGTATGGGTGCGTCTTATGTATGGGTGCGTCTTGTATATGGGTGCGTCTTATGTATGGGTGCGTCTTATGTATGGGTGTGTCTTATATATGGGTGCGTCTTATGTAAAATATTTTATACACAAATCGTCAGAACCCGCGTCTTATATAAGGGTTCGTCATTACAATTAGGTGTGTCTTATATGTGCGAAACAACGGAAAGTATTTTTGAATTACCTCGTTTACCAACCCAATGCAGGGCACCTCAAATTTAAAATCCCTTCGTTTCAATGTTTTGCACATCAATGGAGCCGCCTTTACATCAGCCGTTTTATGTTTTATGTGGAAATTATTTAAAAATTGACTTGAGGATCGCCCGAGTAATACAAATTAAAAATAGAAAGTAAATTTAATGATGAAAAAAGTTCAATTCTTTAATTTAAGTAAGGGGAGCATCTAGTTGCTGTTACCCTTGAGATGGGAGGATGATTTTGGAAAAAAGGTAAAGAGATTTAAATAGATTTCAAACATCTACCGAGCGTCACCAACTTATGCAAATTTTGTTGAAAACTAAAACAAACAACTACTCTATTTTTTTTAACAGGACTTTATATTAACATAACGGTCACACACACACACACAAACACAAGGCTTGATTTGCCGCTATTCGTCTTTTATTATTATCTTGTCTTCTAAAGAAGTCTTGGTTATAGTGAATGTGATACAAGAACATAAACTAAACCAAACAAAAACAAGGTCCCTGGTTGCATAGTGCATCCTTTATCTCGATTGACTTGACTGGAAAGGGTCAAATGGCGATGATTGTTGGCTAGTAATCGAACTGGCTAACCAGTTCAGTCATCCGAAAAGACCCGGTGAATATGAGACTGTTGATATCGTGGTCATTTACGTGATCTACGAATTTCGCGAAACTTAAAAAGAGCTATTAAGTTTTTTGACTAAGTCCCATCACTGGCTTTGCCGTGTGTTCAATTGCTGCACTTGTCTTTGGCATCAGACATGACAACTATGCAAACAGTTCTAGCTAAGCATCCACATATTTGAAAAATAGACCAAAATCAATAGTAACAGTAAGTAGAAAAAAAAAATAGTAATGTAAATAAAACTTAATTATTGGTAAATACAAAGTTAGAGAGAATAATAGGTTTAAGAAATAAAAGTACGAGAGATAGAAAGTATGAGATTTTTAAAATATGATAAATAAAAAATATAATTTTCGAATGGTTTTTAACAAATAAAAATATTTGCTTCTTACATTTATTGTGAAAATGTTTGGTGACACATAATCTTATTTAAAATCCTTTATAAATCTAAAAATGTGACACAGCTGGCGTCATCTTATTGTCAGCCATTCACAGAATTTTTGGCAGAATGATGCAAAAGGTCTTGTTTTGCCGTACTCCATTACATAATACAGTTAGTATCCATTCCTATTAGAAGACTTTGTTCATTATGAGTCTGAAAAACATTTTTACATTTATTTTATTTATTTTTATAATTAAAATGTAGTTTCATTGACATATTGCAATTTTTTTAAAATTCAAAGCTTCTTTTTATAACCTAATTAAAGAGAACATGTAAAAAAAAAAATTAAAAATATAAGGACATTTAAAAAAATTTAAGAAAATTAAAAAAAACAACAATTAACTAAATTTTCAGTTAAAAATAGAAAAAGAATATTTATTTCCTGTATGGCGTATAACCTTTAAAAGTCTTCAACTGTCTTATTTTTTTTTTCTTTAATGACTTTAGGCAAGTATGACTAATATTTAAAATTAGGGGCCATATATAATTTTACTTGAAATATCTAAATCTCTCTCTATCTATCTCCTGCTCCCTCGCTCTCTCTCTCTCTCTATCGCTCTCACTCTGTCTATCTCTCTCTATATATATATATTATGTATATATATATATATATATATATATATATATATATATATATATATATATATTATATATATATATAAAAAAATTAAAATATATGTTATAATATATAAATTAATAAATTATATATACTCTCTCTCTCTCTCTCTCTCTCTCTCTCTCTCTCTCTCTCTCTCTCTCTCTCTCTCTCTCTCTCTCTCTCTCTCTATATATATATATATTATATATATATATATATATATATATATATATATATATATATATATATATATATAATATATACATATTTAAAATTTTTACAACATGTCATCCGAGGTAAATTTACCACTGTTATATTTCTGAATGACACGCATTAACCTGGTGGGCTGTGTGACATGATGACCAAACGTGTCCGCTATGGAGTTTCGAAGTCTTTGATTATAAGTTGGATCTATGATTACTGTATATTCATCTGCTTTGGTGATGCCGTATTGAGATTGATGTTCATTATGCGTGCCACAGACACAATATCATTAAATTAGGTTTTATGTTATAGAATAAAGAGGAAATATCACTATTGTTATATTAATATGATTGAAAAAAGAATTAATTATGTCTTCTTTATTAATTTATCCAAACAAATATGTGAAAGCTTAATTCCATCCCTCTTACCTGTATCTGTTACGTCATGACGTGTCGGTGTCTTTCCGTTTGTAACTTGTGTAAACTAAGATGAGTATGGTATTCACACCGTCGGTGAATATTAGCAAACCGTTTCGGTGTCTTTTTCTAACATTAAATTTAAAACGTCAGGAGCAAAATTGTGCATGCTTCACATGGAATGGAACAGTAGCATTTCAGGGTGAACTCCGGTAACTATATAAATACAAAAAAATCTATCTTTATGCAGAAGAGTAAGTAAAACTACTTTTTAACATGTTATAATAACAATTTTAAAGTCTCCTACATGTGTCAGGCATGGGCGCCAGGGGGGGGGAAAAAATTTAGTAATGTTTTAATAAAGTTTTAATTTACTGTAGCGTATTTGTATGGTGAACGAACGGACAGGACATCAGCTTAGTTACTTTCTCTTTATTTTCTCTTTACTTTAATACATTTTTTGTCTTTTTTGTCTAAATTTTTTTTATCCAATCAATCCAGGGGGGGGGGGGGCAAGTGCCCCACCTTGCCACTGCCTGCGGGCGCCCATGGTGTCAGGCGTGGGTCTGGCGTCAGTCTCGCATGTGGAAACCGATTAAACATTTTTGTGAGAATAATATAAAAATGTAATGATTCAAATGAACCAGATCAAATTGGGAATGCATATGTCTTGCGATAGTTCTCACCGAGTTTAAGTTTAAGCTAAAGTTAAATGTGAATTAGAGACC